AAGGGTAAACAACCGGCCGTTCATCCGAGGTGTAGCGCTGCGGAGGCCGCCGTCCGTACGAGCTGAAATACCTCACCTCAGCGTTTCCCGAGTTACATCAGAGAAGCTCGTGTCCATAAATGCAGGCTGTAAAGCGTTCCGTTACTGTTTTTAAAAGCTGTCGCAGCAGCTGAATGTTAAATGTGAGGATCTTATGCCCAAAGTTTCAGACCTTGTGCCGGGAGAAGAAGAAAGACAGGGAGAACGACTCTTTTCGTAAATAACTGGACTGTTAATGGTTCATCCACTCTTGTAAGCTGAACGGATGCTCTAGGTTTTCTTCTCGTTCAGCATGTTTACAGGAAGTGGTAAAAGCAAGAAAAAACTTGGTGTAAACATTAAATGGGCTACTTGAAGCTGAAAATGGAAGTGTGACTGACTCCAACAGAGCACTCGTTCTCGTGTGTAGATCTTTCTTCGTCTAAAGCATTATTTTATTTATCTGTTTAACGCAGCGCACTGATAAGATCACACAGCTTGCAATTCTACGCTGTCATCTGAATTCAACACCAGCTGTCTTTACTCTGGTCCCTGCAAGATGCCAGCAGCCCTTGCAGAGAACAGCCAGGTTATCTGTGAAGTATGGGCGAACAATCTGGAAGAAGAGATGAGGAAAATTCGAGAGATTGTTCTAAGTTACAGCTACATTGCAATGGTAAATATTTTATACTTGACGTAATTGCCTTAGCCAAGGGATTTTTTTGGGAGGGTAGGGGAATAAGTTGATTCTTGAGTGAGAAATGATTTCCCCCCCATCCCCCGTCAAACTGAGCTAGAAGTTAAGTGGTGAGAAATTAGAAAGCAGTTCGGTAGAAGCTTTCCAGAATTTAATACAAGTAGTGTTGAGTATGGATTGAATGAAAGATGGGGAAGAGAGAGACCACCTTAAAAACCTGAATTCATTTAATATTTAGCTATGCATAATGTATTAGTTTGTGCAACAGAAGAAATGAAACGGGTCAGAGGTACAATTGGATTTAAATCTTTAGTTTTCCACCGGTGTGTTTGTCCTTTGAATGTCTTTCTTCGTTTGGTTATGGAAGATGCCGTGGTCCTGTAGGACAAAAGGCCTACAAGTAACAAGAGCCAGCGGGGCTGGCTCCTTTTTAATGAGGTCAGATGTTGATTCTTAGGGAAGAAAAGTATTCTGGCTGTAGGTATGACAATGTGTTCAGAAAGCTTTGTTTAAGAAGACGAGAATCTTCCCCGGGTGGGAGGAACCTCTTCCTGCTCTTAAAAGTCTGTATCTGCTTGGCAGGAGCCAGATAGTTACGGAAATAACTGGTTTTAGTTATGATACTGTAAATTATGCCAACTTTGCTTGGGAACACTAAACTTCAAGATACAAAAAGTCCTTAATAAAAGCATGGCATAAAAACACACGCCCCTGCAGAGTGCGTAGTATTTCAGTGTAGAACGCAGTTGTCTAAGTAAATACAATTTTTTTTTTTTTGTTATCATATGTCAATGGGAAATGAGCTTTCTTGCTTCTGTTTGATCTCATTGAAAGTGTGCTTATGACCTGTTTCAGTGGCCGTGCTGTGAGAGTGGACACAAAAAGATCCTGGGAGAAATTTTGTCAGATACACAGCACTGGATTCTTCATGAAAGTTTTTGCATACGCTCTAGTCAGTAGAAGTTACGTGACCTGATCTGGGAGTAAACATAGTGTAGAAGTTTGGGTTTCAGCAAAGATAGCACACAATCACTGGCCAAGTAAAATGTTTTTCATCTAATTGATGGTTGCTCTGCTGTTAAGGTCCGTTTCGATTGGCAGGAGTTTTCGTTAATGTAGGCATTGGCTGTTCCTCTCAAACAGTGAAGGTTATCTCTATCTGGACTATCGAATGGAGATGGTCAGAATGCAAAATTTGACTTGTATTTAGAACATGAAAGAACACTGAATAAGTAAAAACAATAAGTAC